TCTTTCTTCTTTTTTTCAGCATGGAATAAACCTATTACTTGTTCCTTTGCAGCCTACGCATGCTGACGCAGCTACCCACCTGAACTACTACCGCCTTCTCTTGCATGACTATTTTCCCTATTGCATCCTCACAATTCAGATCGTGTCGTCCGCATAGGGCCTCGAAAGAACCGGATCGTGACATAGCCTAAATGGACTGGCATCCCATCCCGGATTGGAATTCATGAAGCAGATTTTCATCTCTCGACCACCTTTTCATCTCCCCTATACCCCTTCTCTTTCTTTATTTTCTTCCCTGTCTAATTTCTTTGCCTCCTCTTCCTGCTTTGTCCATCTAAGCTCCCCCCTAACCTCTCCAGACTACTACTGTATGTGATATGCAAATGTGAGAGCTTTTAACATTTTCCTTCCTACATTTTATTATCAATGATCAATTTGAAAGTTTTTCAAACTTTAAATAAATACATACACATGTACCTGTAAAATTGCAAGACACCTAGTGGAAGCAGTGATTTATTTTTCTGGAAATTAATAAACAACACTTACTACATGAATCTGTAAATATTTTTTTATTGTTTTAAACAATTTAATTTTTCTGTTAAATGATTTATACATAGGAATCTTGCAGAGCTCTCGAAACCATTGTTATCTGAGTAAAGCATTGCAGAAGTACATCTTACACAATTCTCCATATGCAACTGTATTCTTTACGGTATAGCAGAATATACAATTCATGAGGCAAACACTGGTATATTACATGCTGAAAAGAGAAGAAAGAAAACAACGTTTCGGCCGTGGAGCCTTCTTCAGGTGTGAGAAAGACAGGGCAGTAAGCAAAGGTAATGTAGCAGGAGAACAAAAGCTGGGAGAGAGGAGGAGCGAGAGGCGGGAGCACGGGACATAAAGAGAGGCCAATCAGGAGGTGTGAAGTCGGGATAGGTGAAGAGAGGTTTTAAATGAAACCTACAATGAATAGAGAGAATTTAGAAGAAAAGTAGCCTGTCGTTAAGAGAAGGGGGAAGGGCGAAATAACATTATGACCTAAGTTATGCCAGCCACATGCTCAGATTAAAAAAAAATATTTTAAATGAACAGAACCATGAAACTGAGGTTTTTACTAATTCCAGAAGGAGACTTGGGCTCAATAATAACCTGTTATCTGGATCATTCAACGCAAAATGAAAGTCAAATCAGAGATAATGAAAGTTTTGGGACCAAAAGAAAATATGCTGGGTTAATTTGGAAATATTTACCAAAGCCCTTCATTAAAAGTTTACTGTCACAAAAGTGAAGCAGATCACATTTCTTGTTATGGTAAATAAACACATTACAAATCCATTTGGAAGTCCAGTATTGATTACATTCTATACTTAATTTCCATTACTTACACATCATTCTCATTTATAATTAATTTTACCATACGTATGGTGAAATTGCATTAAAAGAGACAAGCCCTGTATTTGGAAAGCACAACTCCTTTCACATTTGACATGTATAATTATTTAGATCAATATGGCTTATAATTTAATTATAATACTCCAGAATAAAAGGAGAATATTCCAATTTATCCTTGAAACCATTTACCATGTTTTGGGTGTATCACATTTCTATCAACAAATCCTATCAAGCTGAGGTGTTCAAACAATCACTGTCTTATGCTGATCAACCTTTATTTTAAGGTTTTCATTTCACTGCTCCAGGTTCTTTCGGATTGTGTGCTGCTGATCGTCTGTAGATTACTCTTACACTGCAGGAGACTATGGACTTTCTTCTGGTATTGTGAAGACCCAAAGTAATAAACCACAGGGTCCAGACAGCAGCTCACACTGCCAATACACATGGAGAGAAGAAAGGCCATGTAGGACTTATCATTGTATCCAGTGGCAAACTGAGCATAGTGAATGAGCAAGACAATGTTAGTTGGCAGGAAACAAACAACAAAAACAGTGAAAACAGTAATGGCCATGAAAATTGCTCTTGACTTCTTGGTCCTGTTGGCTGCATTGGAAGCCTTGAGGCACCGAATGATACGGACGTAACAAACAGTGATACAAATCAACGGTATGTAGAAAAAAATGGAGCAGAAAATTGGAAAGAAGTAAAGGTAGTAACCCTTAAGCTCTTCAAATTTCAGCACATCATGGCAGGTACTAATGTTCAGTTCCGATACATCGACAGTCTGCTCAGATAGGAGAATGGGCATGACTCCGCCAATGGCGAGCAGCCACATGGTGCAACACACAATCATGGCATTCTTCCGTCTGCGCCAGGTGAGAGACTTCATGGGATAAACCACAGCCAGTAAGCGGTCCACACTTATACACATCACAAGCAGAACAGAGCAGTACATGTTGCAGTAGAAGGCAAAAGTTACTATGCGGCACATTGCAGGTCCATATCCCCAGTTATTGCCATTGAAATGGTAAGAAATCTTAAAGGGAAGGAGAAGGACAAACAGCAAGTCGGCAACTGCCAGATTCAGCATGTATATCGCTGCTGGCTTCTTCGGACGAATTTTCAAGATGAACATGAAGATTGCAATGGCATTCAGGGGACAGCTGATGATGAACACCAGTGTATAAACAGTAGGGATAAGAATGGTCATCAGAGGTCCAGTGAGATATTCCTTGGCCTCCTTTGGTATGTTCCCACGTGTTGTATTATCAACAGGGCTGAAAATCAATGGAAAATTTCGATCTTGGATCTCTGAAATGGAAAAATACAATTAATGGATTTGTTCAAATTAATTAAAGTAATAAAATGTATTAAGTGTCATTCCCACTTTAGGAGGCAGGGGTAATGATAATGATGATGAACAAAACTAAGCATTAATAAAAAGCAATTGTCACGAAAGTCGGAAGGGATGAACCGTGAAGAGGCAGAAGAGCGGAAAAAGACACATATGCATAGTTGTGGAACGGGGGATTAGCCCGGGCTCAGCAGTTCAGGAGTCGAATAGAAACTAGGGCCGGGCGATAATTCGATGACGATAATTATCGCAATATAATTTTCCTTGATATAATTTTAACAAAAGTTCGATAAATGTTCGATATATATGTTTATGCTTTGCGCATGATAGGCGCATGCGCACAAAATACTGCGCGAGTGCGCGTGCGTGTTGCAGACCGGGCAGCTAACGTGGTGGTGTTTACCCACACGGTGGTGGCTGACAGGATTGTAGTTAGAGCGGAGAAATGAGCGACACTGAAGCAAATGTAGTGCTGCCAATGACCAGCTCGAAGGATGATGACATCATTGACAGAAAAGGTCATTCAACTTCGGTAATTTGGAGATATTTTGGCTTTTTACGATCAGACATAAAACAGAGCACTTTAAACTTTGCAGTCTTTCTGAGCCATCTTCTATGTGTGTTTTATCACACTGCAGTATTTAATTTTTCTATTAAGATATTTATTTGGTAAATTTTACTCAAGCATATTTTGACATAAAAAAGACTTGAATACTCCCAACCTCAGATTTGTTTCTGCTGTTTAGCAAGTGTTTGTTGTGTTCTTAAAATAAAGAGTTGTTTAATTTACCTATTAACTGTCTGGTTTCTTCAACTTTCACTCAGGAGAAAAAAATCTGCCTTTAAACTTGAAAGAAATAATGATTTGCCATTTATCGTGATAATTATCAATATCGACTGATATGAAAATTTTTATCGTGATAATGTTTTTGGCCATATCACCCAGCCCTAATAGAAACCAAAGCCCTCAAGCAGCGGATGTGGGGTGACCTGGTGCTAGGCGGGTCTCAGGACATCCAAACATCAATGCTGAGCGAAGGTGAATCAGTGACCGGGAAATATAAAGCCCCAGAGAGAGAGACACCGAAAGGACAGCAAAGCATCGGAAGCTAGGGACAGGACAGAGTAGGGGCGCCCTCTGGCTGCAGAAACATCTTCATGTTAGTTAAGAGATTTGCAAATGCTCAGGTTGCTCAGTGACAACTTTTTTCTTTTATTTATTTTTTTCATTTGCTTTTGAAAACACGACTGCTTAAGCAAATTACATTATTGATCCCGCATCACGGTACTGCTATAGTTTTCAAGTTCGTAATGTATAAAAAGTAAAATCAGAACAGTAAAAAAGAACTACTGTATACATGTATGTGGGTTTCCTATTTCATGAAATAATTAAATAAACTTCACAACATGGGAAGCACTGCAAGACAGATCATTTTACCTACTGTACACATTTGAACTGCATGACATGAAACATAATGAAGGGAGAGAAGTGTAGAGAATAAAATGAATTAATCTGTCAATATTCTTGAAACTGAGTGAAATGTTACTGGGTGGCATGGTCTATTGTATATATTCATTATATATCTAAGACTAATTAAAAGAAGTCTCATTCTATATTCAAGCACAACCAGTGGGTTCCTTCACTGTCAATTGTCCATAGAACACATGTGTTCAGAGGGGTGGCAGGCTGGAAAAGTGGTTAGCATTGTCTCCTCGCAGAGCTGGGACCCTGGGTTCATTTCCTGACCTGGGGTGCCATCTGAGTGGATTCTATATGTTCTCCCCATGTTTGTGTGAGTTTCCTCTGTTCTCCGGTTTCTGATATACTGTACTGATAGGATTGTTGCCTTCTGAGATGTCCCTGGTGTGTGCGTGTATCTGTGTGTTACTCTCCCGTGACCCTGAATTGGATGAAGGGGCTAGAAAATGGAAGGATGGATGATCAAATGTTTAGCAAGTCATCAAAAGACAAAGAGAACATCTGCACACTCACAGCTTTCACATATTCAATCCTGACCATCCACTCTCCTGCTGCAATCACTGTACTCCACACCAAAAAAGGACAACAGCCGTCTCCACAGTCAGAGCTATATAAGTGCATAGAACTATTTGCATTTCAAACAATGATTATCAACTACTGCAAGCTTCCAGCTACACAATGTGGATTATAGGTCTTGCAGAAATCCCATCCTAATATTTTCAGTAAAAGCAATGAAGCAACAAATCCATGACCATTATAAAGTAGTTAAGAGGAGCTTCTGGATGTCTACTGTCTTAATCATGCTCATCAAGTAGCAGCTTATAATAATAATTGCTTACACTTATATAGCACTTTTCTGGACACTCCACTCAAAGCGCTTTACAGGTAATGGGGTCTCCCCTCCACCACCACCAATGTGCAGCATCCACCTGGATGATGCGACGGCAGCCATAGTGCGCCAGAACGCTCACCACACATCAGCTGTTAGTGGGGAGGAGAGCAGAGAGTAATGAAGCCAATTCATAGATAGGAGGTCATGATTGGAAAGGGCTAATGGGAAATTTGGCCAGGACGCTGGGGTTACACCCCTACTCTTTTCAAGAAACGCCCTGGGATTTTTAATGACCACAGAGAGTTGGGACCTTGGTTTTATGTCTCATCCAAAGGACGACACCTGTTTACAGTATAGTGTCCCCGTCACTATACTGGGGCATTAGGACCCATGTGGACCACAGGGTGAGCACCCCCTACTGGCCCCACTAATACTTCTTCCAGCAGCAACCTTAGTTTTTCCCAGGAGGTCTCCCATCCAGGTACTGACCAGCCTCACACCTGCTGAGCTTCAGTGGGTTGCCAGTTGTGAGTTGCAGGGTGATATGGCTGCTGGCAGTGTAGTTAATGTAGTAGATGTAGTTATACATTTGTGCAATTAAGTAAATGGTTTATCAGGTCTTATGAGTCAACAGATCTTATGGTCATTGCATCTATCTGGCTCTTTCAGTTGCGAACCTAGGTTTCAGGCTTGGGAAGGCAGGGACAATCTTATTTTTGGAGTGCAACAAGAGCCCTCTTACAGTTTGCTGGTGTGGTCATCTGAAAAGGAAGATCTAGCAGAAGGAATGAATTGCTGGATAGTGAGACATTGGTGGGTAAAATTTCAAAAACAGTTAGAAGCTCTTGCAAAAATGTACTTAATTCTTTTCAGGAAGACACAGTTTAGCGAAGTACATCACAGAATGGACACTGATTTTACAACATACAGTTTATGGCTCTTAACCATTTTGTCTGTGGCCACAAGGCAACCATTATACTGCCTGGAGAAGGGGTTACAACACTACATTCTAAGTGTCAGGACACTTAAACATTATTGTCTTGAAATTAATTATCTGTTCACACACTATCATGCACAGCCTGCATTCATAGTCCTGCATTATCCGAAATAACCTGTGCTCACTGTCCTGAATATGCTCAGGACCGCACAGATATTCAAGTAATTACCCCCCAGAGGGAACCTGGATGCAAAGGCAACATGAAAGAAAGAGGAAGAGGAGGGAGGAGGATGGAATTCAAAACACTTAGATGTTTGTGTTCGTGGTTAGGGATTAAATAGGAAGGAGAAAATTGAATGACAGAGGAAGGGGCGGAGCACACAGGGAACAGATAGGTAGAATGGGAGGATCCTTATGCATAGCCTTGAATCCTGCAGAATGTAGAGTAGCGCAGGGACAATATCCAAAACATGTAGTCCAGGGGCTTGGTCGATTGGAGAAGCAATGAGTCCAGTAACCAGAGAAATCGGAGAAAGACAATCCAAAAAACAGAATCCAAAGAGCGTGGTCAAAAAAAGCAGGAGCAAAGATTAGGAACCAGGAGGTCAGTCAAAAAGGTTGAAACACACACAAGAGAATACTACAGGAAGCTTCTCAATAGTGAGCCTGGGTTGGTGCGTGAGGGAACTTTAAATACTGAAGGGAAAGATGGTTGGACAATTAGTCCAGGAGTGAGAATTTGTGGAATCTGGTGAAAGTGAGAATGTGATGGGTTCAGTTTAGGAATGAGATTGTGAAACAGTGGGTTTGGGAATGTAACGGTGTTAGAGAGAGAGCGTGCTGGGCATGACACATACTGTATAAACCTAGTATTGAGTTACACCAAAGAAATATACCCTCTATTTTATAATGTTCTTACAAACCACCTCATCATACTGCAGGTGTCTCCTTTGCTTGAGATGGACTATCTACTTTTAAAGACTTTGGCAAAATGTTAGGTTTTGTTTCTTTCAAGAAAAAAGAAGGAGTTTCATTTCATGAGTTTCAAAGAACCGTGTAGGACTGGGTCATTTGGTGGGCAAGTAATTTGAGAAAATTACAGATCTGGCATGTATTAACTTCACAAGCAGAGAGAAAGGTTGACTTTTGGGAATGAGGCTACCATTAATTGCAGATTATAATAACCTGTCTTGAGTAATACAGAAGAAAGTTATACATGGGAGTATAGTTTACAGGGTGGTGGAGTTGGAGTCTACAACAAAAGCTGGGGGGGGTGGGGGTGGCAGCAGTCAAGTTCAAATGATCTTCAGCTGTCTTAAATCGAAGTAATTTCCTAATTTTCCATCCATCCATTATCTAAACACTTTATCTAATACTAGGTTGCAGGGTAGCCAGAGCCTACACTGGCAAACAATGGGCAAAAAGCAGTTTACACCTCAGATGGGACACCAGTCCATTGCAGGGCAGACACAGACACAGACACGAACACACTCACACCAGGGCCAGCTTTCCCAGAAGCCAGTAAACCTACTAGTATGTCTTTGAACTGTGGGAGGAAACCGAGCACCCAGAGCATGGGGACTGAATACAAACTCCACACAGATATCCCATCCCAGGTCTGGAATTGAACCCACTGCCCCAGAACTGCAGGGCAGCAATGTGAACCACTGCACCTCCATGAAGCCTTTTCCTCAGTTTAAAAAAATAATACTCTGTGAAAGAAAGTATTCTCCTTTGTATAAGTCTTCTGCATTCCTGCCCTACTGTACGTAATTTCTTCCTTTGCAGCTACCTCTTGGTTCAAACCTCTCTCTGCTTGAGGATGCCAGTTTCCTCCTTCTACAGCAAACAGGTTGGCCCTCAGTCAAATTTACTATTGTATAAGGAAACACTCAAAAAACTTTTTTCAGTAAGTGTAATGCTTAGATGTTGCTATGCTTGGCAACATATGAATTAGTAAAGAAGATTTGAGAAAGCAATGACACAGCAATGCACTTTACTTATTAGTAGGCTTTGTTTTTCAGATTCAAAATGTCTTGCTTTTTCTCAGAAGGGAAAAAACTACTGGAATCTAAAGTCTTTGCTCATTCCTTTTATCTATTATAAAGATAATTATAATGATATTTATATTATATTTCAATTATTATTATTAATACTTACCTGCTATATTGCTTTCGGCTCATGCTTTAATTAGATTTGTCTTTTTTTTACCAAACAATATCTCTAAGTATAAAAAAAAATTAGACGGTATTTTCATTGTATGCATATATTGTTACTGAAGCCACATAACAACAGCCAAAAAGGCGCTCAGGCCACTTTATGAGTGAAAATGTTGAAAACTGATAAAGAAGAGCTGATAAACGTATTGCAATTTTACAATTGTAAATACGTCGCTTGTACTTGTATTCATACTTTGTTGAATTTTATTTTCAGTTTTTATCAAGCATGTTCAAACAAGTCTAAGGCATTTAGATGTCTGTTTCTGAGCTCATTTGACTAAATTCATATTTACATTGTGTCAACTATAGTTGTTAACTATACAATATACAGTATGTGAAGAAGAAGCATTTCATTTCCCGTTTCAGTCTACAAGTACTAATTTAGCATATAGAAATATAGGCATATGCGATTTGTACAATCCATTTGTTTAATAAAATATGCACGGGAAAGTACTGATTAAATAACAAAAAAAATGTTTAAAAAGTGAAGTTTTCTCACCTCCCAATTGCTGTTCAGTTTTAGCAGAAAGTGTTACAAAAATTAAAAGAAAGAGTACTGTATTGAAGCCCATGGTCGTTGTGTTTGCAGTCCTTCTGTTACGTAGTTCTTTGGAAAAAGAATAAAGTATGAAGCCTACACGAGTAATCAACAAAATTATAGCGCTGAGATATTGAAACGCCCTACATCTCTTGCCAGTGCGCTCTGCTAGCTGTCAGTATTACAGTTTCCTTGTATTTATAGCATTACGCAATGCTGCTTTCTACCTCTGGGATACAAACTGAATTACACGTAGGAAAATAAATGACCATCAATCATGAATAGACCTAAATAGACCGATTTTGTCAAAGTTTCCCATTAAATACAGTATACAGAATAGTATAGAAAAGACCATATGAAATAAAAAAGACCGCAATTATTCACCTGTGTTCACATGAGCTGAGAGTAGTAGAAGTTACAATTAGTAACTACAGTACATATATTCACATATACAGTAATATTGTAACAATATGCATATTATTAAATGTTAATATACAGTACCTTCCAGGGTACTGATATATTTGATAGAAAGACTAGTTTCTTGAAATAAATAGGTAGAAACAAAATCAGAAAAAAAGAATAAATCATGTTCTAAGTTATGAAGAATTATCTTGGCTATGATAATTTTTCTGTGGTTGTAAACTTTAGGTTTAGGTGTTTCATTAAATATATTGAATTCCGGACCTGGGGTGCTATCTTCATGGGTTTTGTATTTTCTTCCTGTGTTCAAGTGGGTTTCATCGGGGTGCCCCAGTTTCTCCCCTCAGTCAAAAAACATTCTACAAGGTTAATTGGATTCTGGGAAAATTAACCTAGGTGTGAGGTGTGTCTGTGCCAATGTACAGTATGTCCATCTGCCCTGTGATGGACTGGCGTCCAGTCCAAGGTGTATCTCGCACCTGTTGCTTGTTTGACAGATAGAGTGATGCTGTCCACTCTAGCTCCTCTGCAACCCAGAAGTGAAAGAAAAGGTTAGGAAATTGGCTTCATTACTCTGTTCTCCTCCTCACTGATAGCTGATCTGTGGTGAGCGTTCTGGCGCACTATGGCAGCCGTCGCATCATCCAAGTGTAGCTGCACATTGGTGGTGGTGAAGGGGAGTCCCCATTAC